GTCTTGTGAAGGTGCTGAGGATCATGTTGTCACCAGAGGCTAAATATCAGCTGAATGACTTCACACCAGAGCTAGTTGAACTGAGAGTTGAACAACGACAAAAGTAATTGTGGGAACATAGATTTTTAAACCGATAACATTATACACACAAAATGACTGTGTCACAAACCACCATAGGTCTAAGGACAATCGTTTTTTGTTGGTTAATAACCGGTTGTTTTATAGATGGTATAAACTATACATTATTCACTTGTGTATAAAAAATGTTTTTCTTTTTGAGATGCACCAGCCATAAAAGGTATGGCTGGAATGCGATTTGGTTGGCGGTTGTTTCACCGTTTTCATATAAACGATGTTTTTACTGGATTATCCGTTGTGAAATATCTGTAAAATAWAGCCAAACATTGYACCATTTAAACTATGCACGCAACGTAGCGCTGACGTCTTCTGTCATATCAGGGATTCTGGTCGTTATTTTATTAKAAAGATGTTAGGAACTATTTGGTCCAATAACATAAGCAGTGATTGTGTAGTATAGGTATACCWCAAGGAGCGGGTCAGCRAATAAATCATCCAACYTGTTGAATCCYCAGTCCCCGGATCCTATGMTTCTTCCTTTACAAGTCACCATTCACTGTGACCTCTATCAGTCAAATCAAGTCATAATTTAAAACTTCTTGTCTGGRTTGAATGCAGCCGTCGACATCATGGACTTGCTGCAACTCGTTGCTCTTATCATCCTTTTTGTTCTCGCTTTCTACTGGCTGGGTACCTACAAGTTTGCAGTCATCAAGTCCCTCAACATCCCTGGCTCAAAACCCTGGCCRTTTSTRGGTAACATCCCAGACATCTGGAAATTTGGTAGTCTTTTCGAATTGTTTCTTGAGTACCGAAAACGATATGGAAAGGTATTTTATGTCTGCATTGGACAAAAAACCTTGATAATTGTCGCTGACCCCGAGTTACTGAAGTTGATGGCAGTCAAGGAGTTTGATAAGTTTCGCAACCGCTCAATTCCTTTTAAGCTACCTCCTCCATCCGGCCTKGGTGTAGCTCAAGCTTCCGATGGCGACTGGAAACGTATTCGAAATACATTGACTCCTACATTTAGTGGTGCAAAGATGAGGCAAATGGTCCCAATAGTTCAGCAGTCGTGTGATGTTTTACTCCAGAAATTTCGAGAAGAAGCTGATAAAGGTATTGTATTGTTCTTAATCGATTCTTCCTTGCGTCCGTAAAGTATCCATTTGTGATGAAGTAATTGTTTCAGGTCAATGTATATATTTAGGTTTTCCTTCAAGTAGCTGGCTATKAATTCCATAAGATTTACTATTGAGTGAGATTGGGTGCGCATGCCAAACGCCTGTTTTAAGATGGTGATGTTAACGGTTAAACATATGATGAAATGAAGAGTGCTACTGGGAGGCTATGCGGTCGTTATAATTTAAGAAAAGAAAACAAATGATGTCGACGAAATGAAARAAAATCACTCCTTGGGGGTTACAACCTAGGACTTATAGCTCGGGATAAAAATGCAGTTGTTAGGATTCGCCAAGTTATGACATTTTACGCTTTAAACTACGATGAGTAGACTGCCATTAAATGACTTTTGTATCCCGAGGAATGCAATTGGTTGAGTCAGATGTAGTTGGTATATATATATATGACGACAAGGTCGCGGCCCTATTTGACAGTTAAAATGCAGTTCCCTTCGTTAACGCCCTTGATTAATAAACTGATGTTTTCACGTTTTTGTATGTGCTCCCAATAGGGAAAATACGCCAATAGGCCATTTGCATTCTGACATAACTTTACTACAACTACCAGAGAGCCTTGCGCATTTTCATTGTTATTCAGATTTTAAATCCCCTTTGAGATTTATGAAACAATTGGCACTAATTGCAGTACAAAAGAAAGTTGGCAAAGCATTCTGGTAGTTGTAGTAAATGACGCCATAATGCATATCGGCTATTCTTCACGCTTTATTGGAAAACGTAAACCGGACCAGTTAAATGCATGCACTTCTTTAGTTCAGTCTGATCATTCTACGTTTTGTGGATCGGAGGATACCAGGGACCTGGGATGGGAGAATACATTTCCTCCCTAGTACCAAATCCCCATACCCTATAACTGACATTTGTGGACTAACGTTTTTCAATCGTTTAAAATTGCGCTCCTTTCTTATTTGTTGAAGGAAAGACCGTCAACATTAATGCATTCTGCCAACAGTATGTCTTAGAAATCTTGATGTCCAGTGCATTTGGAATGGAAACAAACGTCCAAACCGAACCCCAAAAGGAACTGGTCGAKAAAGTGCAAAAGCTCGTAAACACTAATCCCTTATATATGATTCTAAATTCTCTCCCATTCTCTTCCCACGTTAGAAGGCTCCTTGGTTTTGCCTATAAGGCGCGTTTACCTATGCGGTATATGCACGAAATCGCGTATCAAATAATTGATCAAAGAAAGAAACGAGGCATTGACATTGGAAGAAAGGACCTGTTACACTTGATGTTAACGACCAAGGATAGTGAAGGCCACCGKATGCTGACAGACGATGAGATATCTGCACAGTCGGTAAATCCTCTAAGGTTCATACGTCGTGCTATCGACGCACGGAGACAAATTTTTGTCGACCTAAATACMTTTGGCGCGGCGAAGATTAATGTGTCGATCATAATAGAGTCAAAAGCATAAGAAAAGGTCCGATAATATCCAATTGCATCACTATGGTTGTGGTAAACAAGATTCTATGTTTGTGCATTAAGTTCGTTACGACGTTAGATCTTGCGTCGAGGTTTGCAAGTCGCACGACTGGCGTTGCTTTGTCACTGCACYACGATAGCACGACGTATTACTCGGTTTCATAGTTACGATGTTTTCAAACTCACACTTACTGTTTGTGTGTGTATTTGTTGTTTGTTCTTTACAGGTAACGTTTCTGGTTGCAGGTCTCCACACCACTAGCACGCGATTGAAATATGCTCTATATCACCTTGCACGTTTTAATGATTTGCAAGAAAGGTTGTACGACGAAGTGGAAAGCGCTTTTCAAGCAAATCCTGACAAACCGATCTATGATTTAGTTCAAGACATGGAGTATCTCAACTGTTTCTTCAATGAAGTGTTGAGGGCGAGTGATAAAACGGTAACCCTACRCATCATGCGTGAGTGCAATGAATCCTGCACACTCAATGGTATCCATTTCCCAGCTGGAATACCAGTGCTATTTGCCTACAATCTCATAAATTTTGATGCCGATTTCTGGAGGGAGCCATTCAAGTTTGACCCTGAAAGATTTCGTGGACCYGYAAAGGAGCAACGACAGCCCAATGTGTTCAACCCTTTCGGGATAGGCCCTCGCAACTGCATTGGAATGCGTTTGGCGCAGATGGAAATCAGGATCACAATCGCTCGTCTTGTGAGGGAGTTCAGGTTCATGTTGTCACCAGAGGCTAAATATCAGCAGAATATTTTCCCTCCGAAACTTGTTGAACTGAGAGTTGAACACCGGCTCAAAAAGTAAATGCAGCTTTTCTTCATATCTGGATTTGTAAACTCATGATACTATWTACTCAGTTTTAACAATAGCTTCTCTTGAATGCATAAACATATCTTGGATCCGGGACAACAGTTATTCTTGGTTGATAGGCATCATGGGTACCAAAATGTTTAGCTGAGTAGAGTATGTCAAGTCAACATGAGATAAATTGACAATATACACTATACACGGTAGTTTAAAAGAATAGACTCATTATAACTTTGTTCAAAACACCTTTTATTGATAGTCTCACTCAGAGCCAGTGACCGATAAAAAGACCGATAAACTGATTGGCTGTAACCAACATGATTTAATGTGGAATAGTACACATATTTTGAAATGAATGAATTCCGTATTGTTGATGAATGACATAGTTAAATTTAGTCTGTAAAGCAGCAATTTCGATGGTAATAAAGTTCTTTTTATAAAATSCTTCAAGTGTTCCTAGAAAAGATCAAATCGATTTTTTTTACCKAAACAAGWGCATTGGTCAATAAGAAAAAATCATTTTGCTTGATTGGTATKAATTGAACGCAAAACCGGTTGARGCGTTTGTCTGTGAAAAATAATTGAACRAYACGTTTGCAATTATGATTATAACCTTTGCCCATTTTCTGGTGTTTCATAAATGCAAGGATGTGGTCAGCAGCCCTTTCTGCAATCATGATCGCGGGCGTATTGCTGTTACCAAGCAAATAAGCAAATCCAGATGGAGTAGTACCTCGACTGCTTCTTCAACGAAGTGAATGTTTAAACAGGATGTGCAGTTCACACGTGAGTGCAGCGAATCGTCCAAACGACAACCGTTTTTTGTTCATAAAAGGTGSCTGTTTAACAGTAGGAATATAAAATCTTGACAATTAAATTATACGTTCTGACATATCTGTAAAATACAACCTATAAGATTGAACCATATAAACTATGCACGCACCGTAGCCGCTAGGTAGGGTATACGGCTGTGACATATCASGGATTCCTGTTATTTCATTATCAAAGATGTTAGTGAACTATTTGMTCAAAATAAAATAAMCAAGTGATTGTGTAGTAGGTATACCACAAGGTCATACAAGAAATCATCCAACGTGCTGAATCCGCAGTCCCCGGATCCTATGTTTCYTGATTTACAAGTCARCATTCACTTTGACCTGTCGTACTTWAAATCTTCTTGTCTGGCTGTCTTGCATGAATGCAGCCGTCAACATCATCATGGACTTAGTACAACTCGTTGCTCTTATCATCCTATTTCTTCTCGCTTTGTACTGGCTTGGTACCTACAAGTTTGCAGTCATCAAGTCCCTCAACATCCCTGGCTCAAAACCCTGGCCCTTTGTCGGTAACATACCAGATATTTGGAAATATGGCAGTCTTTTCGATCTGTTTCTTGAGTACCYAAAACGATATGGAAAGGTATTTTATGTTTGCATTGGACAACAAACCTCGATAGTTGTCGCTGATCCTGAATTAATGAAGCTGATTGCAGTCAAGGAGTTTCATAAGTTTCGTAACCGTGCAGTTCCCGTTAAACTTCCTCCTCCATATTGCCWAAGTGTAGCTCTAGCTTCKGATGGCGACTGGAAACGTATTCGATCTACATTGACTCCTACATTTAGTGGTTCAAAGATGAGGCAAATGGTCCCGCTAGTYCAACAATCGTGRGATGTCTTGATSAGWAAATTTCATAKAGAAGCTGACGCAGGTTAGAAATTCTGATATTGTAACTTTACATCATGATACGATGTAGTTAATYAATAAACATGGAACGACAAGGTCGCGGCCACCTTGACAGTTTCAATTCATGTCCTCTTTGTCCTCTCTCGTTTTTACGTTTGTYCCAATAGCGAAAGCCAAACTATAGTTATGTGTGATCACACAAGTGGCTCGGGAAGGGTTTGGATGGGTATTGCAGAAGGAAGACGAACTTGGGATAAGAGAATACACGTATTCCCAAATACTCAATCCCCTTTCCTCCGAAGCTTCGTGTCCTCTTTTGCTCCACTACCAATTTTGCTGAAAMTCCAGCTGTCCGTCTATCCAGAGAGGAGCATGCGTCTGCAGCCCTCCCCCCGTGTTTGCAAATGAAGTACATATAGTAATTATAACTAATTTGCAGTCCTGCCTTTCGTTTCGCTTGCTGCAATGCAAACATTATCTGATATCTACCATTCTCATACCTCCCCGTAGATGACCTTTACACTATATGCAGTATATAGTACGTAAATATGTCAATACTGTAAAGTTTRTGACATCTTAGAATCAAACCTGCTACCAACCATGGCAACATAGCTATCGGAATCTTTTACTATGTGAAATGAATATAATGTTTGTGAATTAACGTTTTTCAATCATTAAAGTGTGTTTTTTTTTGTTCTTCAAGGAAATACAATCAACATCAACCAATTCTGTCAGCAGTATGTCTTAGAAATGGTGATGTCCATTGCATTTGGAATGGAAATTGACGTCCAAACCGAACCTCAAAAGGAACTAGTCGATAACGTGCAAAAGCTCTTGACCACTGGCGCCGTCATAAGTATGATTTTACAATCACTCCCATTCTGTTCCCACTTTAAAAGGCTCCTTGGTTATGTTAAAAATACGGCTTTGCCTTACCAGTATGTGCTCAAACTAGCAAGCCAAATAATTGATCAGAGAAAGAAACGCGGTATTGACATCGGAAGAAAGGACCTTTTACACTTGATGTTAACGACCAAGGATAGTGAAGGCCAKCGAATGCTGACAGACGATGAGATATCTGCACAGTCGGTAAATACTCTAGTCCCGGTTCATACGTCGTTCTATCGCCTCGCCGAGTCAAATAGTCAATTGAGTTGGCCTCTAACTGAAGCAAAACATGCGATAACATGCATTCCGACTACTGTTATTATCAAGAAGGATAAATTTGTGCATTAATTTCGGCAACACCTTACTAAACGTTTGAATCAGCGTCAAGCTTTTGCAGTGCACCCGAACTAGCGTTGCCGTATTAGGCCTGGCTTGCCATAGACGGGTTTTGCAACTCATGTGATAAACTGTAACTATTTGTTTTTTCGCGACGATAGCACTACGTATGAACCAGACGTTATTAGACTATGAAAAGCTTGCGTAGAAACCTCCAGTCATATGTGATGCTACATGCAGTCCATAGCTGCATAAATCGTCTACAACAATGGTAACAATTTTTAAAAGAACTTGAAAGAGTTAAAATTATTCAGTAAAACACCGTTCAACGCGAAGATTCTGTAGTTATGATCAACATTATTTAACGGCATGCGGAGTACCAGACCTTATCAGACGATGCAAATCTTGCGTAGAAACCTCCACTCATATAAAATATTACATCCAATCCATACCTTCTTATCCATCTCATTCTTACTTTTTTTCTTGTTTTGGCATTTTGCAGGTAGCGTTTCTGACAGCGGGTCTTCACACCACCAGCGGTCGATTAAAAAATGCTCTTTACCTTCTTGCACGATTTCCTGACYTACAAGAAAAGRTGTACGATGAAGTYGAAAGTGCTTTTCAAGCAAATCCTGACAAACCGATCTATGATTTGGTTCAAGAAATGGAGTATTTCAACTGTTTCTACAACGAATTGTTGAGGGCAGGAGGTGATAGAATGACATCCCTATCCCTATCAATCATGCGTGAGTGCGCTGAATCCTGCACGCTCAATGGCATCTATTTTCCAGCAGGAATACCAGTYKAATTTGCCTCTTTTCTCATCCATCATGACACTGATTTCTGGAAAGAGCCATTCAAGTTTAACCCTGAAAGATTTCGTGGACCAGAAAAAGAGCAACGACAGCCCAATGTGTTCAACCCTTTCGGGATGGGGCCTCGCAACTGCATTGGAATGCGTTTMGCGCAGATGGAAATCAGGATCACAATCGCTCGTCTTGTGAGGGAGTTCAGGTTCATTTTGTCACCAGAGGCTAAATATCAGGAGAATGACCTCCCTCCGCCGAAACTTGTTGAACTGAGAGTTGAACGCCGGCTCAAAAAGTAAATGCAGCATTTCTCCATATCTGGATTTGTAAACTCATGTATACTATTTACTTTTCATTTTCATTTTCATTTTTTTTACAATAGCTTTTCTTGAATGCAATAACATAACTTGGATCCGGGACAACCAATTGTTCTTGGTTAGTAGGAATCGTGGATTTTAAAATGTTTAGCTCAGTAGAGTATGTCAGTCAACATGAGATAATGTGACAATATAAYCTATACACGTTAGTTAAAAAGACTAGATTGATTATAACTTTGACATGCATGATTGTTTCAAATCCCTTAATTAATTGTCTTGCACCTCACAGCCAGAAGAACGATAAACTGATTGGTTGTAACCAACATGATTTGATATGGAATAGTTTGAAATGAATGAATTCAGTATTGTTGATAAATGACATAGTTATAAATTTCGTCTGTAATGTAGGAATTTTGAAGGTAATAATATTTAGCTCCTTTTTAATAAAATGGATCGAGTACTCCAAGAAAAGGTCAAATATATTTTGTCTACTCAAACAGGTGCATTGCTCACCCCGGGGGGATGCTCAATAAGGAAAGATCATTTTGCTTGACTGATATCATTTGAACGTCAAACCAATTGACGTTTAACTATGAAAAATGAACCAAACGTTTCCAATGAATTATCACCTTTGCCCCTTTTCTGGTGTTTCATAAATGGGCACATTTAACTTAGTCAGCAACGGGTTCCCAAGGATGTGATCAGCCGCTTTCTCTGCAATCATGATCGTGGGCGCATTGGTGTTACCGCTTACCACACTAGGCATGATAGACGCGTCTACCACACGAAGTCCTTCAACACCAAATACGCGCGCTTCTTTGTCGACTACAGCCATTTTGTCAGAGGAGCCACCCATCTTGCAGGTACTTGTCGGATGGTAGCCTGTTTCTGTGCATTGACGAAGAAATTCGTTGATCTCTTCGTCACTMCTGACGTATTTACCTTGAACGATAAATGAGGGCAAAAACAATTTTTTACTTTTTTTATACTTTTTCTTAAAAGGTGCCCGTACCATAGATATGTTCGTATTTGAGACCTTTATAAATCAGTTCACATTACCTGGACTAAGTTCATCTCCTCTAAAGTCGTCGAACGCTTTTTGACGCAAGATTTCTCTCCCAAGAAGCAAAGCTTTCTTCATTTCTTTCCAGTCTTCCTCCGTTGACATGTAGTTGAAGTCGATAAGTGGATGGTCACGTGGATTAGCGGATTTCAGTTTGACAAACCCTTTGCTTGAAGATCTCCAAGAATTCACATGAAGCTGTGACATGCCAAATATTCAGTAACTRCCTAAACGTTCTCTCAATAATCTAAGAACAGTCTAAATATGAATCCATCTTTTATAAATAATTACCTCATAGCCATGTTGTGTCGATAATACTCTGCCATGATCAACGAGAAGAGCCGGTAGAAAATGAAGCCCAATGTTTGGATGGGAGACATCGTCACTCCTGATAAAGCCACCCGTCTCAAGTTGACCAGATGTACCAAGACCTTTTTTGGTCAATAGCCATTTAAGACCAACAGAAGCCAATTTCATGACTGGTCTGTCGCTATGAAGTGTAATGGGCTTTGTGCATGCCTGACAAGAAAGATATAACAAATAAATCATGGAAGAATAATAATGYCATAACCAACTGACTAAAGATTGACATTAGCATAGCTTGTGTTTTAGCCGGACTTTTCTCCAAAARATTTTCGGWTGTAACACAGACTAGCTCAATAGTCAAGTGAAAACAAAATCACTGCTAAACCTGTTGTATTGGAAACTGTACATGATCCTGTAGGTTCTMTCCCACCCCTGGTAGATGACAAACCACAGGAATACCATGCTTCTTTAGTTCATCACCATCACCAATCCCAGACAGCATTAGGAGCTGAGGGGAGTTGATTGCRCCTCCTGACAGAATCACTTCTTTGTTTGCTCTTACACTCTTCATCTATGGATTCAAACCAAAAGCTTTAAAGTATAATTTAAAAAAAAAAACATTAAATAAATAAAGATATATACAACCAATTTTTCAGTCTGACCTGGCCATCTTTCTCGTACTCTAGCCCAACCGCTCTGTTGCCTTCAAAAAGGATTCTCGTGACAAAGGCTTTAGTTTCTGTGTGCAAATGCTCTTTTCGCTGTGCTTTGACTGGTGTAAGGTAGGCATTGGATGTGTTCCATCGTTTGCCTGTACATGTAATAATTAATAGCACGTACATCATATTATAACAATGACAAGCACAATTATAGGGGGCACATATTTTGGTCAGCACCCCTAAGAAGAATAAGAATAGATTATAAGAAATCTACTTATAGAAGACATGTTAGCTCCGTTACTGAACGGAGCACGACTTCCTAGAATATTGGGAGCCAAAAAAAACTAGCATTGCAAGTCCTGCCGTGCATCAAATAAACGTACACAATAGATACCTTTGTAAATAGTGAGATCAAACACTCCAATTCCTTCTTGTTTGTAGCCATTCATATCTTCAGTTATCGTATGACCAGCTTGCTGTCCGGCTTGTAGAAATGCATGATGAAGAGGGTTGTCTAATCTTCCTTTCATTACATAAAGAGGTCCATCACCACCGCGATATTCATTAGGACCTGTTGATATACAACCACAGTCCTGGTATATACTTACTTTCAAACATTGCCTTCCATACAAACTTGCGACAGTCACACCCCCATATTTTGTTGAATTTGCGATATACATACCAAGTTCATGTTTCTGTGCCTTCTTAAAGTATGGAAGACAGTCTGCATAAGACCAGCCTTTGGCTCCTTCACGTTCCCATCTGTCATAGTCATACGCATGRCCTCTGTTGTACACCATTCCATTGATCGACGATGTACCTCCTAACACCCTTCCCCTTGGACAATACATTATTCTGTTATTCAGATGTTTCTGAGGAACAGTGTTGTAATACCAGTTGTATTTTGTGCCTGCTAATACCAAGGGTAGACCAGCAGGCATCTGGACTGGCATAACCCATTCATCGCTTGGACCTGCCTCTAGTACTAGAACACTATTGCTGGGATCAGCTGACAGACGATTGGCTAAAACACATCCCGCTGAACCAGCACCACAGATGATGTAATCATGAGTAGATGAGACGGTAGAAAAGGACTGGATATTGGAGCCTTAAAATAGATGGATGGTAGTTATAACAAGGATGTAAAAGTAAACCTTTCAGACCTTAAATGAAATGAGGGTGGATTAAGGTACTTACAATCACCATTTCCCCCCTTGTAAGGTAATCCGTAATTCATTTGAAATCTAGATTCCAATGACTGGAATCCGGAGTCCAGATATTTCAATGAGTGGCATCCAGAATCCGGACTAATCGTGAACTCGGTTTGCGAAATCCAGCTGAGCTCCAGATTCCCTTACATGAAGCTATCCCCTTCCCTAAAAGTTATTATTTTTGAGAATTATTTGACTTGCTAAGCTTCTATCTAAAATCTCTAAAGCAAATGCACAAACGATTTGTGTTTTTACTCTTACTGGATCCTGTAATCCCCGTCTATTGCTGTCATATCTTACGGTTTAATGTAAGCAAACACTAAAAGCATGTAAAACTAGGTAAACAGTGTTACTGAATTATGCTAAATCAACACTACTATAGCATTTTTCTATTTCACGCTTTTAAAGTTTGCACTCATGTGTGCTTAAAGATAGGCCCTGTTCTCCCAACAAGTCCTGGTGACTGATAACCATACCGTCAGGACAAGGGTCAGAAAGGGATTACCGTTGTTTGAAGCACATCTTGGATGACGAAAACATCGTAGCCTTGCAAGAAGGACTCGTGATCCAGACGAGAACCCTGCTCTKAAGTATGACATGGTTCTAGTCAATAATACACATCAATCATCAAGTACATGAGATCAATTTCGATCTTCTATAGCAGATCCTATACGTTATGACGAAATTCTTGCAAATTGGCTTTCTGTATATACCTCCCTTTAAGGCAACTTACGCAGAACGAACGAATCTGCCTTTCCCTTTCACCGGTAAGGAATACTTATAAATTGCGTGACTGGCCTTCAAAATACTATCATGCAAATTGTGTACATTTGACACGCATACATGCACTTATCATTTAGATGCCTTAACAATAATTTAACAAGTGTTTTCATTGGTCAATTAATATTGTCGTAGGAATACGCAAATACACACGCGTGTTCTTGAAATATTTGAAAGATTTACTATTTATTCGTAATATTCGTATATTTTAGCCACGTAATTATGAAAAATTGCAACACYTTCACCGTTTACGGCGACTTTAACACTTTAAAATCATCTCTGTCCCTTGTCTGGCGTCTTGTAGACGTCAACATATTCRTTTGTTAACAACGGGTTACCAAGGATAACYTCAGCCACTTTCTCTGCGATCATAATAGTGGGCACATTTGTATTACCACTGACCAAACTAGGCATGATTGACGCGTCTACCACACGAAGTCCTTCAACACCAAATACGCGCCCTTCATTGTCAACCACAGCCATTTTGTCAGAAGAGTCACCCATCTTGCAGGTACTTGTGGGATGGTAGTCGGTTTCGGAACMTTGCCGAATAAATTCATCGAGTTCTTTGTCACTTTGAATGCTTTTACCTATGCATTGATAAAGCTTCAATAGGAAGAGTTCATGCAAATAAGCTAGTCATGTGGGATATGCTAACAATCATACAGGAGCATGCGCAATGGGTAGGTCAAGGTGATTACCAAGATTTATACTATTCATGCATCCCTTACATAGAATGCATCCTTAAACATTATGGAATGGAATTAATCTCGAGTTCACTAGTTTTAATTTTATTTTAAYAGTTGTATTCATCTTACCGGGGCTGAGCTCTTTTCCTCTGAATTCATCAAACGCTTTTTGATGCATAATTTCTCTCGAGAGTCGTACYCATGCTCTCATCTCTTCCCAGTCTTCCTTGGTTGACATATAATTGAAATCAATYTCTGGYTGGTCACGTGGYTTCGCMGARTTTAATTTGATMGATCCTCTACTCTGAGATCGTAATGACCCTACATGAAGCTGGGAATAGAAAAAAATCAAGGTTTACGTTAAACATTTGATCAAGAGTTTGCATATATTCAATAACAAGATTTGCGACTTTATCAGTGAAAGATATTATACACCCTTTTAATAAGTCCCGAGGTATTACGTTCTCCGCACTTGACGTCAAATTTATTCTTTTGAATTTCTTTTATATTGTAAAAATTTCAAAAGAATAAATTTGACGTCAAGTGCGGAGAAAACAATACCTCGGGACTTATTAAAAGGGTGTATAGAGAACATGGAGAGAAGTGTTACCGCGTATCCGTGCTGATCGCCTTGCTTTCTGCCATGGTCATGTCTCATGGTTGGAAAGAAATGGAACTCAATATTCGGGTGAGGGACACCTTCATGGCTTCTGATGAAACCACCGACTTCGARGTGYGAAGTTGCTCCGGGACCCCCTCTCGTCAGGAGCCATTTTAGTCCAATAGAAAGCATAAGCGGTAATGGCTGTTTTCTCCACATTGTGATTGGTTTGGTGCATGCCTAAGTTGTAATAGCAAGATATTAGTTTATCTCAARACTGGTCTTTCTTGAAGAACGCCATTAAATTCAATACCTGCTTTATATATAACTGCAAATGATCCTGTAGGTTTTGGCCCACCCCTGGWAGYTGACAAACCACAGGGATCCCATGCTTCTTTAGTTCATCGCCATCACCAATCCCAGAGAGCATCAGGAGCTGAGGTGAATTGATTGTACCACCACAAAGTATTACTTCCTTGCTTGCTCTTACTACATTGATCTGAAAATATGAGAAAACTTGTAAAGAAYTACTAACTAAAGCCGAAAATGAAAATCATAAAATATGAACCGAGAATTCAATAATTAAAAACAATGYTTTCAGGAAAATGGTATTCAATTTTTCTGTGAAAAACGTACATTAAACAGAACAGAATAGAGCATATTAAACAATGACACAAAAAATGRTTAGAAGCGTCCTAACCTGACCATCTTTTTCGTACTCAATTCCTACAGCTCTGTTCCCTTCAAAGATGATTCTGGTTATAAATGCTTTGGTTTCRGTAAGCAATCGTTCTCTTCTCTTCCTTTGAACTGGTTTAAGATACGCATTTGCTGTYCTACATCGTTTTCCTGCAACAATGGTTAATAATTTATCGTCAAGCGTTTAGAAAAGTTCTGTTAATTTTGATTACGTAGATGAACGTTTGTTTTTGCCTCTACATAAATGTACCTCTTAGGACACTCTTATCGAATAAACCAACTCCTTCCTG